GTTTACGAGGCAAGTACTTTCCTGACTGAGCCATCTCCTCGGCCTATAAAATTTATTAATTTTATCGATGTGAGATTCCCATGACAATATTAACTATTTTAACTTTGTGTGTGTGTGTGTGTGCGCGCGCGCACACGCGCACACATGCCTACACTTGGACCAGAGGAGGATACTAGCTGTCCTTCTCTATTACTCCCTTAACTCTTGAAACAAAGTCTCTCACTGAACCTAGGGCTTGCCATCTTGGCTAGACTGACTGGCTAGCAAGGAGATCCATCTGCCTCCACATCTTCACCTCCACCACCTCCACCTCCACCACCTCCACCTCCACCGCCTCCACCTCCACCTCCACCGCCTCCACCTCCACCACCTCCACCTCCACCTACACCTACACCTACACCTCCACCTACACTTCCACCTCCACCTACACCACCTCCACCTCCACCACCTCCACCTACACCTACACCACCTCCACCTACACCACCTCCACCTCCACCTACACCACCTACACCTACACCACCTCCACCTACACCACCTACACATACACCACCTACACCTACACCACCTACACCTATACCACCTACACCTATACCACCTACACCTACACCTACACCACCTCCACCACCACCACAGCTCTCAAGGTACAGGTATGTGTTCATACCCAGCTTTCTGTGTGCATCCTGGGGATTAAACTCAGGTCCTTGTTTGTGCAACAAGCAATGTCACCCACCGAGCCATCTCCACAGCCTCCTTAATTAGCCATTTTGAAATAAACAGCTCAAGTCCAGGTAAGCTTGTAGGTCTAACACTTGGGAAATGGAGAAGTGGGGAATCTCAAGTCTCATCTACCAACTACATAGCAAGTTCAATACTACCCTGAGCTACATGAGGCCTTCTCTCAAAACAAAATATTAATTGATTAAACTGAACAAGCAGATAGCTTCTCATACATTCCCGACATTGTCCAGCCAGCACCTCAGACTGTTCCCAACAGTGCCACCCCTTGGTCACTCTGTCCCCTCCTCCCCACAGCAGCTGTTCCTCCTTCTGTCCCTATGGATTTGTCTATTTTGGGTATTGATACAAATGGAATTCTGTGCCCTTTATGTATGATTTACCTCACCTGGCCCAATGTTTTTGAGGTTCATCACTCTATAGCGTGTCATTAATATTTTATTTTTTACAATTATTTTTCTTGGGGTTGGGATTGACACTCAGTTGGTGGAGTGCACACCTAGTGCACCCTAAGTCCAATCCCCAGCTCCACAGAAACCTGGATGTGGTGACACAACCTGGAGTTCCTGTATTTGGAAAATAGAGACAGGGGGATCAGAGGTCCCAGGTCATCCTCAGCTACAGATCAGGTTCCAGGCCAGCCGTGGCTGCATGAGACCCAGACTCAGAAGAATAAAGTCTCTCTTCTGTTCCTGTGGCCCCTCAACCTGGCTTCTCTCTTTCCAAGTGTGTTTAGACTTTAGTTAGCTCAACTTACGATGTCAGAAGCAGCTCATGTCTTTCTTCCAGCCTCTCAAACTCCTAGCGTTCTTCTTACATGACTCTAAGTCCACACACGGGCGACGGTTAGGACTGCCGTAGACATAATCCAGCAGGCAGTTGTACTATGCCTGTAATCTCAGCGGTTGGCAGGCTGAAGAAAAGAGATGGAGTTTCAGGCCAGCCTAAACTACATAAACGACCCTGTCGAGGGAGGAAGGGAGGGAGGGAGAGAAATATTAGTCTCAACAAAAGACACAGGTTCCAGATTGCCCAGCAGGTAAAAGTGCTTCCACCAAACCTGACAACCTGAGACGGTCCCTGGGACTCACAAGGCAGAAGAATCAACCTCCACATGTGCACTGTGGCACACAGGCATGCACGCACATACATGCACATTGCATAAATAAAATGTAATAATAGAAGACAAGTCAGAGCTGGGCGGTGGTGGCACACGCCTTTAATCCCAGCACTCGGGAGGCAGAGGCAGGCGGATCTCTGTGAGTTCGAGGCCAGCCTGGTCTACAGAGCAAGTTACAGGACCAGCTCCAAAGCAACACAGACAAACCCTGTCTCGAAAAACCCATTAATAATAATAATAATAATAATAATAATAATAATAATAGAAGACAAGTTGGGGATGGAGGAAACCTCTTGAAAGAACATTTTAAACCGTGTGGTTTTTTCCTCTTCTTTTCTAAAGCTACAGAAAAAATATTCTGGAGAAAGAATAGGCTCATAGTTCAACGAGCCTTAGAACCAAGGGCTTTAATTACTCATTCGTGCAGAGAGCCACTGGGCAGGAGAGAGCCAAGAACTGGACACAGCAGAAGTCTCTTAGTCATCTGTTAATGATTAAATCTGAAAACCGTGACTCTGCTCATGACACATGCAAAAGCCCGCATTATGGCCTGGCAGTCACATGGGCTGCCTCTCTCTTGGAGTTTACTCTTACCTTCCTACCCTGGCACAAGTTTCAAGAGGTATGTGAAATTTGTGGGTTATTGTCCAACACCATTCTCACCACCCATCTTAGGATTTTTTTTTCTTTTTTTTTTCTTTTTTTTTTTTTTTTTTTTTTTTTGCCAGCCACCTTCTGGATAACTGTGAGGAAGGATAATGCCCGGAGGTGTTTAATCCTAACCCACAGGACCTATGAATCTGTGACATGGCAAATACCAAGATAAAAGTTACATCAAAAGTGGCTGACCACTGGCCTTGAGACCGGAAAAGGTTCTGGAACGTCCTGGTGGGTCCCATGAAATAACAAGGAACCTACAAATCCAACAGAGGATCAGGAGAATCTGTGCTATACTGAAGTGTAAAAAAGATTCCATTACCACGGATGGATGTTGAGAGGGAGGAGGCCACAAACCAGGAAGCGTGAGAAGCCAGAGACTAGAGAAGAGGCAAAGAAGGGGTTCTTCACTGAAGTCACGCTGACACTTTGGTTTGTGCCTAGTTGAGACCCACTTCAGACTTCTGACTTCCGGGGCAGCAAGTTAATACATTTTAGTTGTTTTAAGCTTCTAAGTTTTGACAATTTGTTAAAGGGAACTATAGAGTAGCTATTTATGAGTTAGGGGTCTGTAGGCTAAAGAGATGGCTCAGCAGTTAGAGTACTTGCCACATGGTAGTTCACAAGCATCTATAACTCCAGTTCTAGGGAATCTGATGCCCACTTCTGGCCTCCACAGGCACCAGGCACACATGTGGTGTAAACACATATAAGTAGTCAAAACACCCATACACATAAAAAGAAAAAAATTAAGGGTCATGGACTAGATCTTAAGTAGATTTTGTGATCTCGTTTAAAAACTCCAGTTTGAACTGAGCAATTTCTTAGAGTACAGAATGTTAATTGAGGGAGCACTGGGATGAAGTTGAGTTGGTAAGGTGTTTGCCTAGAGCACATACCTGGTTAGCTGGTTAGCTCCCCAGAACCATACAGGTGTGGTAACACACGCCTGTTACCTCTGCATCTAGGGGGTGGAAGCAAGAAGTTCAGAATTCAGGATCATCTTCAACTGCACAGTGAGTTAGAGACCAGACCGGGCTACCTGAGGTTCAGCTGTGACCCTAGGCTCGGCTGCAGCCACTTTGTGTGTCCTTCTGGGTGGCTGCTTCAGTCATCACATCCTAGGCACAGTGAAAGCCAAGACAGTGGTCACCTGGAGGAGGGCCAGCATCCAAGGTGAGAGGCTCTCGGGGCTGCTTCTCTAAAGATAACCACAGCTCACCTTCCTCAACAGCATTTTTAAGCAGAGTAATTGTAACGCCAAAGAGTCCAGATGCTTCCTTTCTTTCACTAAATTATTCCTAACTTTTTACATCATGATTTTCTTTTAATAAAACGAGGTGTGAATATCTGTTTTCCCCAACAGCCCTGGCCTTGGGTTCCTCGTGCTGCCTTTGTCTGAGTTTCTAAAATGGCTTATCCTTTTTACAGCTCTTTGGAATCACAAACCTCCTCCAAGATTGGTACATGTATCAATGATTTACTTTCATGAATGTCTGTGTACCACAAACATGTCAGGTGCCTACAGACCACAGAAGAAGCTGTAAGACCCCTTGAACTGGAATTATAAGTGGTTGTGAGTCACGATGTTGGTGCTGGGAATTGAACCCAGACCCTCTGGAGGAGGAGAACGAAGAAAGAGGAGAAGGGAGAAGAGGAGAAAGAGGAGGAGAAAGATGACAGAAGGAGGAGAAGGAGGAGAAGGAGGAGGAGGAAGAGGAAGAGGAAGAGGAGGAGAAGGAGAAGGGGAAGGGGAAGAAGAAGAAGAAGAAGAAGAAGAAGAAGAAGAAGAAGAAGAAGA